ATTAATGTGTTGGTGCCAAGGGGGCACCACCCGTGTACAAAAGATTAAAAGTCAATACAAATGCAGTCCTTTTATTATTTAAGTTTTGACATGTCTCATCACATCACATATTGAAGAATCCGCTATATCTCAACAATATGATGGAAAGAAAATATATGTTACAGGGATCCCAAAACCCTAAGCCAAGAAAAGAAAAAACTATAAGAGGAACTTAACTGTATAGGTGAAGAACAACCTCAGAAACTATTATAGAAGATAACAGATAATCCTCCATGTCAAGTTAGAGCATATATATGACATGTACCAACCTAGTTCTAAATGAACTTCACATGAGTTCCCAATAAATATTTTGTGAACAATTCAGCTAGTCAGTATACTTCATATAAGTATCTAGAATAACATTCTGGAAGGGCTTTTCATGAATAAAATCACTGTCAAACTCAATATGCTTAATTCTCTCATTAAAAGATGTGCTTTAAGCAATGTGGGTTACATCCTAACTATCACATAGTAATTTCATGGATTGTGATCTTGGGTAAGCTTGTAATATAAATACTTTAGTTCAATCAACTCGCCAAGTAGTATAACTCTACATCAGAAGTCTAATGTCCAATATCAAACAATAGATGAGACAAACCTTCGGAATACAAGGAGCTAAATATAACTCTACCTGCACAAAATAAGTATGTCCACTGCAAAATATACTTGCAGGCAAAATTCCAAGCTTGAGATTTCCATCATATGCATATACAAGCCCACTATCCCCATCAAGAGATGGTCCTAGCTGCCTGCGGACAATATCATTGAAACCGTTTTGATCCCATATTTTTTCATCTGCCAGAAGCATTTCTTTCCACTCTTTTGCCAACTTTTTTGCAGCTTCTGTTGGCCGCCAGTGGAAAATTCCAATATTGTATGCAGCACCAACTGTCAAAGTTTAAGAAAAAAATTAACGAAGGGATTCTTGAAATAGAAGACACCCTTCCGCAGTAGGTTAGAATAATAATAGTATGATACAAATAATGATTTGGAAATAAGCATATCAACAAGTAAAGTAACTTCGCATTATGATGCAAAAAAGCAGCAAACATATTCCCGGGCCTTATCTGCTTAAGGAGATTGGAATATTTCAAGCATCAGAATGTTTCAACCTTACTTCAATAGTTTCTTTGCAAATGAGCTAAGCCTAAGTAATGGTTAGCTTGTCTTGAAAATCTTATGGATGTGCATTAATTAGAATCCTGAGCTTAAAACTCTAGGAAAAGTTCTAGACTAGTAATTAATCTTGATGTTATCCCCAGCCATAACTTCCACTTCTATGGAAAGTAAGCCAAAGCAATAGAAGATATCAATTGAGACAACGTCAAAAGCCATAGGAGTTATTAAGACAAGTTTCCTGTTTTTATTAAAAGGTAAGCAATGGCATTCTGACTGGAAATGACAACTGCTTGAATTGACCAGAAAAACAAGAAAATCTGACAAATATGTTCCCTTAGGTAGTGTTTGGCAGCACGAGATATTTGTGACCGGATACTACAAAAGTGTCGGCTCCTATTGTACCATGGAACAAAACAGTAAAAGATGCAAAAATGATGGAACGAAGTTATTTCATCTTTTTTGTGGAACAAATTTGTCCAAACTGATGGTAAAAACCATAAAACTCTAAAAACCAAAACAACCATACTTTTTTAGTTCCCAAGTCACCCTTTTTCCTTCATATAAAAGTTTGATTCATTATCTTATACTAACTACAATTAGGTTAGAAGTATTCCACAACACTTGATATATTTATTATTAATAATTTTTATTTACAATTTAAAATTTTTGTTGTAAAAGTGTAATGATTATGGAAAAACAGTTAGATTTGAGATACTACTATCTTTGTGCGAGTAATTTATCGGTACGAATAGTTTAATATTTTTGTTAAAAATTAATTATTAAAATAAAATTACATTAGTTTTAAAAAAAGTAATATTGGATTTAATATGTATATATATAAAAAAAACATACAATATCATTTTATTCATGAAAAATAAATAAATATGATATCACGTGAAGTACATTTTAGTAATGATACATTATGTTCTGTACTGTTTATCGGTTACCAAAAATTTAGCTGAAAAAATTTGCACCACCCAGTCCTTTTCATATTAAACATACCACTATACCCAGTCTCATCTTTTACTACCATACTAAATTCTATCCTCTTCTGTTTATTCTTTCCTGCATATACCTGATAAGGATACAAAAAGCTATATGGAGTTTAGGTCCCTCAAGTTTATCTGAAGCTAAGCTCAAAAAAGAAGTGTATCTAGACTCAGTTCACTTCCGCTCCTAGTTGAAGTTATGTAATTCACATTGATAGGAACCAAATGTTATACTTCGGGTTGCACATCAACAATGCCTCTGCAGTTTGTTAACCTCTTTCTTTAAACAGAAATATATTACTTAGATAAAGAGGTTATAATAGGGAGCATTAGGTACCTCCAAAACAAAACAAAAAAAGAAAAGGAAAAGAGAGAAGAAGTAGCTAAATCGTCCAAAAGAAGAGCCAACAATTCCCAAGTACAAAATAGATAAACTTTGTAGCCTTCAACATTAGCAAAAATGAAACAGGGTATTCCATTCAAATCTAGATACTTGACAACATCATGGAAGTTGACATCAAGGCAACATTACATGATGCATCCTTAGAATGGGTTGAGAGAAGGCATCAACAGTTTCTATGGCAATTTGTACGCAGAAGAGGAGTTACAGGTACCAATTTTGGATGGCCATAAGTTCTAACAGATTGGGCTTCAGAGAGGCCATGGTTGAGTATGCCTTCATAGAAGATGAGGTTCATGCAGCTTCACTGAGTTTTAATGGGGACAAGGATCCTAGCCCTGATGATTTCTCTATGATTTTTTGGAATCATTGGGAGTTCATCTGCGTGATGCCATGAAGCTTTTTGATGACTTCTTCAAGACCATAGAATCTGTGGGCTCCCTCAATTTCACTTTCTTAGTCTCCTCCCTAAGAGTTCGCATCAATAAAGTCATTGCTAAGGTTCTTGCCAAGAGATTGTGTAGGGTGATTGGTCATGTCCTGAGGGAAACATAACATGCTTCTGAGGATGGTCATCATTTTCTTAATGCTACTTTTATTGCCAATAAGGCAGTGGGTTCCATTATCAAGTCTAGGAAAAGAGGCCTTTTCTGTAACCTTGATATTGAGAAAGTTTATGAGCATGTCTCATAGTCTTTTCTGCTATATTTGTTGGAAAGAATGGGTTTTGATTCTAGATGTTCCAATTGGATATTGAGACGTATATCTACCCCTTCCTTTGTTGTACAAGTCAATGGTGCCCTCTTGTTTCTTCCACTCCTCTAGAGACCTTAGACAAGAGGATCTCCTTCCCCCTTTCTCTTCATCTAGGTTATGGCGGCTTTTCACGATGATCTTACAAGCCAAAGCTTGTAATTTCATTGAAGGATTGTATGTTTGAAGTGGTGTTTTAAAAAGGAGATTGCCCATCTATTTTTTTAATAATAATTTATTGCTTTGCTAGCCTGAAAAAGAGCTTCAAAATCTTATTTTCTTTGAGCAGTTTCAGGCCTCAATAAAAAATTGGATAAGTCTTAGATGGTACGTCTAGCAATGGGGTTAGGGCAGAAGAATTCACTAACATTCTAGGGTTTTGTGCTACCTCCCTCCCTCCCAAAATATCTTAGTTTGCCTTACGTGAAAAATTGAAGGATCTTGGTATGTGCAATCCAATTATTACATGGAGAGAAGATTTTCTTGTTGGAAGAAGAAGTATCTCCAAGAAGGTGGTTGGGTTGCTCTTATCAAAATAATCTCTCCAACTTACCTATTTATTTTCTTTCTCTTTTTGCCACCTGTTCTAGGTGCTCCTAAGAGGCTAGGATCCATGCAATATCCCTTTCTTTTGAGGGGAATTGATTAGAGGCATTACCACTTTGTGGCTTGAGATTTGGTGAAGAGGCCAGGTGCTTTCGCAGTTCTGTGACATATGATCTCTTATGGTTATGAACAAGGCTATATTAGCTAAATGATTCAGGAAGTTCATGTATCGCAAAACATCTTGTAGAGAGGATCTACATAATTGTAAAGATATTTTGTTTTCATTTGGTATTATGTAAGGCCTACCTTATATATGGGTGGCACCCGTAGGTGCCTTCTAATATATTTTTATCTTTCTCTCAAATAAAATACAAGATGCATCCTTTAATCCAGGATGCATATTTTTCTTCCTCCAACCATGATATGAAAAACAATGGAGTGAGAAAGTGAAATATGCACAAGTTTTTTTCTTCCCAAAGACAGTGGATTTGAGATTGCTGTCAATCATCCAAGAACCAGACAACATTCATTGAAATAGAATAAGTACTGCAATCAGTTCTTAAAATTTAACACAAAGACGTTAACTCCTAAGCTTTCTCAATGGGCACCTACCACGCATAATCAACTATCATAATGACTAAAAGTTAACAAACACAATAAAAACAAGTCTTGTGCATAACAATCATCAATGCAATAATGATACATATAAAGCAGGCATGAAGAGAAAGATTGTAGGGAATAATCAACTGAAATAGGAAAACTATATGGCAAAAGTATATCTTTTATTTTTTTACCTTGTTGCCAAACGTCCAACCTGTCATCGACAACTGTTGGTACAACTTGATCACTTGAAGTTAGGACATCTGCATCCGGGTACCGAGCAAGATATGGAAGTGGATTCTGTTTTAGGAACATAAAAGATAAAAGACAATTTTTACAAGCAACAGTACAGAATACATCGCAGAAATATTACTTGCATTTCCTTATTTAATAAAAGCACCAGGGCAATAGCTTTAGGGTTCAATGGCTCCAAAGCTCAACTACTTTATTGAGAGGTAAGCCTCTTCTCTGAGGAGAAGATCTTGGGATACTTTGTATAATTCAACTTTGTAAATTGTAAGTTGTTTATTTATTTACATGGTGGCACCCCCTAGGTGCCCTCTTGATACATCAGTGCTCTTTTTCTCCTAAAAGAAACTAGTCCTAAAATTGCTGTTAGTACTGGGAAAGCAACAGACCATTGAATGGTCAATTTAGAAGAATTTTTTTTTTCTTGAAATAAACGTATAGTGTAGTATTAATATTAATAATGGTATCAAGGGGATACCATCCGTATACATGATCATTTGTCAATTAGAAGAATTTCAGATATATTGAATGAGAGACAATAGGTTCAATTTATCATTGCATTAGTCGAGTATTATTTCCACTAAATCATAAAGCTGTAATCCATACTAATTCATGTATTTGAAATAAGAAGTTGAAACAATAAAATAATCCTATCAAATGATGTCAAAAATAGGACAAATGAAGTAAGAAAGTTCAGAATAGAACCTTTAGCCACACCATGTCCGTATCACACATCAATAGCTCAAAACCAAAGGGGAGAATAGCATCTATGAGAATAACTTTTTCTCGCCCCATTTTATGAAAGGTTGGGGAACCCCATCCAACATCTACTGTGCTCATATGGCTGCCCATATCAAAAACTGGAATGCCTTTCAAATATAAAGCCTGCAACAGCTTCGTGTCCATTGCACCTGCAACAAAAATCTGAAGTCCTCAAGAGCAGAACATGTGAACATAAAGATATGAGAACATGCTACCCAAATGTTAAGAACTTCAAGGAAAATGAAGGCAAAGCATACAAAAAAAGCTAGACGTCTGAAGGTATGAGTTCACTCACCGACAAGAAGATTAGAAAGCCCCAAATCTGTCAAGTGTTTGACCCAAGTAAGGATGAAATCCATAAAAGCAAAGTTACCAAAGGTCACTATTATAACGTTATCTTTCACCCTCTCCTCGACAAGTTCTTTTGTCAGTTTAAAGGTCTCTAGAGGTGGCATTTTCTCAGTCGGTGGGGGAGCCTCCCAGATAGGTCTCAACCATTTTCCTTGAAGCTGCAATGTAGGTGTAGGTACCACGGTTGCATTTGGTTCAGAAAAACTTTGCAGTTGACTTTTGTTATGAAAATCTGAATTAACAATGGTTATCCAGTTAGTATTGGATTTTATACGGAGAGACAGAAGAAGACAAAAATTACCATCTTGCATGTGGATTATTTAAATAATCAAATAATGACTTTCAAGCATATTTCTTCTGTTATCATAACTAACAATAACACCCATCTTTGAGGGAATACAAAGCAAAACGCTTCCCTTAAAACCTCTTTGACATCAACAAGCAACGGAACCTTTTTCAATGAAAACAGAAATATTATTACCACCCATTTGGATTGAGAAAAGTGGAGGGTCAAGAAAAGAGAAAGACCACGAAATGCTCCGCCGAATGAGAAATAATAATTAATAAAGAAAAATGGAAGATGGTGAGCATCTCTACTTTTCTCTTAAAACTAAAATTTTTTTATTCCACCAAAATTGAAAGAAATTAAAATTTTTTCCTGCATCTTCCTTTAAAGCCCATACTGTTCTTTCTTCTCCTTTTCTCTCCATTTCTCTACTAATTTTCAGTCAAACATAGTATAAAAAGTGTAAAAAGCGAGAAAGATGTTACATTCAAAGCTTACAAATCCACTGCCAGATTCAACCAAGAAACAACTCAAAAGGGCAAAGTGGAACTAAAATCAATGCATAAACTTAAAACGCTGACACTAGAACCTAATTCGAGTGTCATGGAAAATAAGGGGAAACAATGAATATCCAACCCAACCAAGCAGAATGAAGCATTAAGATTACTAAATTGATGTACTCAAGTATATACAGAGAAAGAGAGAGAGCATACTAGAAGAAATGTTAGAGGAGAACCAAGAAGAGGAGTTAGTAACGGGAGAGTAAATGGCGGAGAAGACATAAAATGCAGAGACTAGGACTCCTACTATGACCGTTCCATAGATAGTCAAGAAGAGAGGTTTTGAATTCGACACCTCCCGAAACGCGTTTCTCCATCCCTCCATTTCTCAACTTCTCTTCCACCCTCCTCCTGTTTTTCTCTTAACTGCTCAAAACAATTCCGTTCATCCGCGTCTCCTTCGATTGATCCGATGAATCAAATATGTACCCAAAGCCAAATACTTCCTTGTCCGAGTTTATTAGGTGAGTCTGAATCGTACTACTGTTACCCCAGCTTGGGTCAACTTCCATGTTCCTGTCTGAATCTCAGCTTAAATCTGAATCTGATTTCTTCCAGTCATTCTTCTTTTTTTTTCTTTATTTTTTAATAAAATTAGGCAGGGAGTGGGTGGCTAATGAAGCTGATAAACCCTTTTTTTCCAAATTTTTTTTAGTAAGAGTGAATTTAATATTAAGTTTAAAAATGTTCGATTGAAAATATAATAAAAAATATAAAGACCAAAAAAATTTTATAACTTTTATTTTATAAAATCATGAATTAAATTACAAATTAATTAGAATGTTACAGATCTTATTAGAGTGTTTCTTAATTATATTAATTAAGGAAAATTACAGTTTAGTATTAGAAATTTTCAAATTCAATGTATACGTTTCATTTTTAATAATTTTAATATTTGTGATTTACACATTAATTAGTCAAGTTAAACGCATGAATATAATATATTATATTTTTAAAATATAAAATTTAAACAGTTTATATTTAAGTGTGTATAATGGTTTTAAATTAGATTGTACCGAATTGGTAATTAAAATAAAAAAACCATTCAAGATCTAAACTAAAGACTGAACCGAAAATAATTTGGTTTGATCCGATCTGAACCAAGATACTTCTGATCTAAACTGAAAATTTAATTTACAATTTAATATTTCTATTAATTATATAAACGGAATATATATACATATATTTAATACTTCATTAATAATATACAAAGGAAAACAAATATAAACATGTGACCAAGAAACCGTGACTCGATTTACTTTTCAAGCAAAAACACCAAATGATCAATTTTTACATAACAACAAAACTGAAGACAACAGTTCTCATTAACAACAATTCAACGATCATTTGGTTCAAAATTACGGTAAAAGTAAATTTAATAATAAACTCCAGTCCCTGTTTTTTTCTTCACTGAAACCCATTCAAAATCTTTCCCTCTTTCTTCTTCTTCTTCTTCTTCTTCTTCTGTTTTATGGTAGAAGATTTCCGCTTCTTCATCATTTTCACTGCAGCGGCTTCCAGTTGCTGAAGTCATCATTATCTTCAACAAGTTTCTGACATTGGCGCCAAGATTCTCTGCTTAGATTTTCTAACTTAACATGTTCCAGCAACCTTCTTCTTTCTCCCCTCTTCCACGCGAAAGCATACCATTTATTATCATCCCCAACTGCCTCGAGCTCGCTCTAGAAGGCATCGTCATCTTCACATGTTTCTGACACTGCCATCACCTCCAAGCTGAGATTCCTTTTGTGTTCCCACGACAAGCTTTTATCCTCCTCCTCTTGCTCTCCCCCCCTCTCTCTCTCTCTCTCATCTTTCTCCTTTGGAGCGCCAAACATCTAGCCAATCATTCTTCCTCTTAGCTGCCTCCATCAAAACATACAAAACCCAGAAGAAGAACCTATACAAGAGAAAAAATGAAAGAAGAAAAAAACGAAATTAAAATAACATTCACCCCTCTGTTTCGTCGAGCTTGAGGAGGAAGAAGGAAATGAGAAAATTCTTCCCAGAACAACGGCGTTCCAGGGAGGTGGTTAAAGGGACCCCAATTTTATCTTTTATCTTTTATTTTTTTTCGCTTTATCCCATCTTTTCATTTTTTTCTTCATTCATACCCCTGCCTTTTCTTTTCGTAGATTTTTCTTTTCTTCCACGTCCCATTGGTTTTCTTTTCCTTTTTATGATTATATACAAAAATAAAAATTACATTGAAAGTGGAAAACTGATTAAACTTTAGGAAGGAGACTAAGAGTTCCATGTGAAAACTATTGATAAGAGCCTGTAAATTTATTAAAAGGTTCATTGCAACCTTTACCATGTGATCAACCATGTCACCTTTAATTTGAAAGAAATTATTCATAAATAATTTGAGAAGATTAATTCATGGTGGAATGAGATTTTTGAGAAGTGTTTATAGTAATAAGGGTTGAAGAATTGGTTGCCAAGGAAGATCTTTTTGATTTACACATGTCAAAATTCTTAGAGATAAAATACAATTTGAAGTTCAATGAAGGAGGGTAGTGGTTTTCCGGAACTAAGATTGGTGACATTCATAATCAATAGGGTAGTGGTTTTTCTTCATTCATATTTCTGTCTTTTTTTTTCGTAGATTTTTCTTTTTTTTTTCTAATAAGTTCTGGATAATTTTGTAATGAAATTTTGTTAATAAAAACTATGAAATAGGAAGATTGATTCAATATGCAATCGACTTGTCCAAAGAAAAAATGGGAAGAAAATTTCGATAATGTAAAAATGAGTTTCCGTTTTATTACTGGGACAAACATGTTATTTATACACAGTATAAATTTACACTAGTAAACCCCCAGATTTACAATAAAGTTTCTGTACAAAATTTACACTGACTCTATATGTTTAATAGCAACCGTTCAAAATAGAGTATATAAATCTTGAATACCCAGCTTGACCATTGCGCCACAGAAGTGAGAAGCAAAAAGAGGCTTGGTAAAACAATCCACTAACTGATGAGACGAAGAGACTAGTAGCAACCGAAGAAGTCCTTCACAAATCTTCTGACGAACCATGTGACAATCTATCTTAATATATTTGGTTCTTTCATGAAAGACCAAATTTTCAGCAATTTTTAGAGTAGATAAATTGTCACAATAAACGAGAACTGCTTGTTCATGACAAATTTGTAAATATGAAAGAAGATATTACAACTATTGAATCTCACAAGTAACATATGCGAGTGCACGATATTTTGTTTCAGATGAAGAACGAGAAACAAGTTGTTACTTCTTCGTCAAGAAAGACACAAAATCTAGTTTAACAAATTTACGACTGTTTGCATAAGAAATCCAATCCGAATCACTAAATGCCTTTAGTTATACACAATTTTGAGAAAGAAAGAATATGTCTTAACTAGGTGTCTCCTTCAAATATCGTAAGATCCAATGAGCAGTTTGTAAGTGAACTTGAGTCGGAGCATTCAAGAATTGTGATAGTTGTTGAACATAAAAACTTATATCTGGCCTTGTGTTGGTTAGTAGAGAAGCTTACCAACTAGCTTTCAGTAAGAAGTAGATTCTAAAAGAGAACCGTCATCTTTTATTAACCGAATGGATGCACCATAGGAGTGGATGTTGGCTTATAGCCCAAAAAACTCGTATCCTGCAAAAGATCTAAAGTGTACTTCCTTTGATAAAGATTAATGCCTTCAGGAGAATAAACAAACTCAAACCCTAAGAAAAACTTTAATTCACCAAGATCTTTAATATGAAATTCTTCATGAAGAAAAGCTTTTACAAAAGTAATGAGAGACATATCATTACTAGTGAGAATAAGATAATCCACGTACACAACAAGAGCAATAAAGCTTGTACCAGAAGACTTCAAAAATAACAAATAATCGGAATGTGCCTCAAGAAATCGCTGACTTTCAATGCAGTAGTGAGCTTAAAGTACCATTATTTGCTAGCTTGCTTTAAACTGTATAAGCTTTTTTTCAATTTATAAATTTGATTATGTTGAATAGCTTGAAAAGGAGGAAAAGTCATATAGATCTCTTCACTCAAGTCTCCATGTAAAAATGCATTGTTAATGTCAAGTTGATGCAAATACCAAGCTTTAGTTATAACCACAATAAGTAAGGTCTGAATGGTAGTTATTTTAGCGACAGGAGAGAATGTATCTAAATAATCTACTCTAGATTGCTGAGTACAACCCTTGGTAACTAATCGTATCTTATATCACTC